TTTGCATAACAAACATATCGACAAGTTGGGGAGCACAATTGGTGCCTATGTTGATACCCTCTTGCCTTATTGTCGTAAACACAACTGTCACATTTAGCGGTCACCAAGAATAGTACATAAGGCCGTTGTAGGATGCGATTTCATTACATGATCCCATATCCTACACATTTCATTCGTGATACACATGGTATAGTACTTGTGTGTGAATGATACATCATAGATGTTCCTTCATTATTACAGGAGACACGATATCGACATCAGCATCGCCAGTGTCCTTATCCTCTCCTGCAGACAACATGGACGTGCATAGTGAAGAAGACATACACACCTATTCTTTGGCTGAAGTTGTTGGGTTCTCGGTGGTGAGCTCAGCTGTGAGCATTGTGATGACTGTCGCTATTGTAATGCTCAAACGACGAAAAGGTCAGATGAAAAATTAACAAGACCAGTATGTTTGGAGAAATGTCTTTTCCTTACTTGGCAAATGTTCGACATCCTTAACATTATGATGGTAATACTCATTGGTCATTTGATTCTTTGTCAGGTGCATTTAAGTCATTTACTTATCCATTACGTTTCAGTACACAGTAACAACAAGTAAGTATTAGAGCTATTCATAATTATCTTAATCCTCGAACCATGTAATTAGCACTATCCTAATTATAAATATTTAGTATGGTGTCTTCTCCAGCAGAAATTCGCTGAGCACGTCAGAAACCTATGATCGCGAGTTCGAATCACGGTTCGCCCCCATTATGGTTCTGGGTTTGTTAGCATAATACTCGTGCCCTTGGGTTTCACCAAAGTGGTAAACATATAAGATATGCATCACTTTTGGTTTACCTACCATAATAAGCTGAATACTGTTCAACGCGGCGTGAAACCCATACTCTCATACTCTTCTTAAACAGCAACCATGTACTAATGGCTGTTTGAACGAAACAGAGACAATTCTATATACAGTGTATACTATTTGTGACAACAAAGTACGATTTGTGTTTTTACAGACTTCCAGCGGCATTGTATGTCACGCCAAGACATGATGAGAATGAAGGCTATGCTACTATCGACACTATATAAGAGTGTGGCCTCATGGAAGGCAGATACCCACAAGGCCTCGGCAAATTTGACGAATTATTCTTCTTCTCTTTTATACAGTCCTTTTTCATACAGTCACATAATAAGAGTGAGCGCGTTTGGTTGCCTGCCACGTTTCAGTTCCATTACACGTTAGGAAAAGGCTACACAATGATCGATATACAGTATTGTCTTTGTAGATATCAAAATGACAAAGGATATGTGATTCGGAGTGAAGAAAGAGTTTACCTGGACTATTTCGGATTTAATTTTTCATCACTTTTTTAACAATTGAGGCTGAACAGACATAACGAAACGAAATCTAAATCATCTAAAATTGACTCTGATATCAAATTAGTTTTCAGCACCGATATGAACTTACATCACATGTTTTTTAAGAAAATGGGTGAAGTAATGTAGGTTTAATATATACGAAAGAATGCAGCACTGTAGAACGGAAATACTGATCGATCAATATGTCATAGCTTACATATACGTATTTCGTTTTGTGTTTGATAAAATTAACAGTTTTGATTTGCATGCATAAGTGTTGTTCTTGTTATTTATTCATATAAATGTGTTACTATTTCCTGAAACGCGATACGGGCGGAAGATGTCCCAACATTTTAAGATAAACTGTCCACTGACTGAGGGTAACTGCTTAATAAGAAAATTTAACCTTGATAACCCCAGCAATGTAGACAGTATGCCCCTGAAATAAGTTCATTAAGAATAATATATATTTATTATTCAATTGACTTCAATTTATTATTGAAGAGGTTGTCGGAAATCGATGTTATAAATATTAAAACTTTCATGGAGGAACATACTAGTGAAAGGAAGCTTTCACAAACATTTCATATTCTCGTAATGTGCGACAGACGTCATGAATTCTGAATTCATTTTGTGATTTCAATGACTGTGGTTATATCAGGTGCTGACAAATGTCAACAATATGGCTCAAGCGTTGCCGACTTTAAATTTTAACACACTCACTCCATCCCCACCTGAAGAAGATTAAATAAGGACGTATGACAATATTTCACTGCTGACAAGTTCCTCTTTCTTTTTCTATTTCTGTTTGTGTGTTATGTGACACCGCAGTTAGCAATATTAAAGGTGTACCATAGCAGCCTTTAAAGCATCGAAACAAAGCCTGGCAAATAAGTGATTGACATTATGAACAACGTTCCTCACCGATGAGGTACAATGAAAGCAATGGGAATTATTCTGACCCGAAGACCTAATCTAACCCAGATCTTCTGTGGCGCAGCAATCCCCCGCGTCTCCAGCATTACCAGCCAGCGTTCAAACTACATCATTTTGCTTCCTTTAAGTCATCGAAACAAAGCCTAGCAAATCAGTGATTGGCATTTATGAGCACCGTTCCACAATTATTCCGCAACGTGGTCACATACACTTTATTTTGTCTCATTATTTCAGTCACAACACGACGGTGTCCTTAAATGAGCTAGATGACATGGTGAGAATAATATGTGTTGGATGGCTGCACAATATAAAAGAGTGAGTAAGTGAATATGGTGTTACGCCGCTTTTAGCAATATTCTAGCATTATCACAGCGGGTGACACCAGAAATGGGCTTCACTCATTGTTCCCATGGGGGAATCGAACACGAGCCTACTGCGTGACGAGCGAACTCTTTAACCAATAGGCTGCCCCACAATCCCCTCTGAATCATGTGAAGTATATATAATAACGCTTTGTTTATTTGGTTGATGTTTAACGCTGCACTCGGCAATATTCCAGCTATATGACGGCGGTCTGTAAATAACCGAGCCTGGACCAGACAATCCAGTCGTTGACATCTTGGCCATCAATCAACTCAATTGGGATTTGATGATATGTATCAACAAAGTCAGCGAGGCTGACAACCCGATTACGTTAGTCGCCACTTACGACAAGCATGGGTTGCTGTAAATGTCCAACTGGGATATTCACGGGTAAAATGCCATCTTAAATTTACTGCGAAAACAATATATGAAAAGCTAAACTTCCCCATAGATAACATCAATATGAAATTTGGGAAATGACATTTGGCAGAAAGTAGTCATTCTGATGGGTACTAATTGTGGCACCACCCTTGCTGGTTTCTTTATGCAAATAAATCGGATTTACTACTGTTACGTGTCGATTTCAACATTGAAACAATACGTTAACTGAGAATTTAAACAGACGCGGCGAGATGGACTAGGCAGGGAATCAGGGATGATGAGCGATCCTCACATGAATGCTTGTTCCAAAGCGATGAAATGCGTGAGAGATAATGGAACGTTCCACATGTTTCAAAAACATACTATCACCGTCCCCGGTAAAGCGGACCGGAAGTTTACACACCACTCTAGCTTCCTGACGCATGATCACTGCCCAAACACACTGTAAAGAGCGTCTGCCGAATCACAACAGAAACATAACAACACAGTTACAATCATTGCTAAACAAAAAAATACACTACTTGGATTTACAACATAGAACTCGAGAATTTAACCAAAGAGTAAAGGTACATCGGTGATCTGATTTCGTTCAATAATTGTCATACAGCCAAATACCTTCGACGAATATCCCCACCTGGGCTAGAAATATAAAAAAAGACATGTGAAACGGCCTCATATGTAAATATTCCAAAATGAAACGATCCCATATCGATTCTCCCGAGGCTAATGCTCAAAATGCAATGTGGATGTATAGAGGTATACCTTTAAATAAATAATAATAAAACAGTTTAATGAAACTGGAATCATCAAAATACCTGGTCAGGACTGTTAGAATAAACATATATGTTGTTTCACATCCGCTACATTCTATCAACAGGAAAAACGTGTCACTGGAGTAATTAGGTGTGAAAGAATAGCAAATTAGAAGAAAATGTGATCTTTCTCCTATACCTATTAAGGGAAACGTATCAGTTCTGACACCAAGTAACTGACAAACTTTAGTTTGCTGATATTAGTGGCTGACTTAAGGTCAGAAGTGTCATACGTGATAAGTGGTTTATCGCGATAGTGTGAAATAAAGCTAACATAGAGAAGCTTTTAGTGCTCGTAGGTACTGTTGCCAAGGTAGTCGCCATTTTTTAAACATTAAACCTCAGTAACAGCCATCTGCGCATGCGCGAAGTGCTGAGTCAGTATATCAGCTATCAAACCAGGCGAACACTGTAGTTAAATCGCACAGAAATAAGCAGGGCTTTACAGCCGCGTTATACAACATAACCTTCAAACATGAAACGAATCGATTATAGAAAATATGTTTCCTGTTGAGGTAGGCTCCCAGCTATGTTGTATAGTGAGCTATCTTCAGGTTTTAATTAGTTTTCTGTCTGGCATGAATACGTTTCTGAAGAAAAACAATGATTTATTTGAGACTTAAAGGGACTTGGCTATAGTAAATTGAAAGACCAAGGAAAATCATTCAGATGATACTTGGGTTTCAGTTTAGTAAAATTGATTATATACAATGTAGATCTATCTGAAAGTACTCACGCCAAAGTCTCGATTTCCCGCAGGACATTTATTACAGTGTCCACGTTGATTACATAGTCGTGGGACGCAGTTGCCAATTGAATTTTGACAGTGAGTGAGTTAAAATTTGACGTCACATATTGCAACCATATCGTGACGAGATTTTCGCAGAGTATGGTTACACTGTACAATTTCTAAGAATAAATGCATCACCAGGAAGGTGTGTACAAGCTTGACGGAAGAAATGTACATGTCAGTCTGTACAAAACGTAGCACTGTATAAATATACCGAACAGGAAAGTGACTTGTTCCTGGTATAAGTTGATGGGACGAAATGAAATACATGGATAATTAGAGTATTGAAAACAATAACATTTCTATTATTTATTGCCAGGTCTCAAAGTGTTTTGATTATTCGACCACGGCCTGTGTTATTGCCTGAAGGGTAGATTACACAGGAAGTATTTGTAGCGAGCGTGGTACACTGACGAGTTTGTTACTGATATAATCAGTCAGAAACCACAGCAGGATGATGTGTAGTTGGAGTTGGACTACTGTCATTTGTGTTTTGTTGTTTTCCCATAGTTGTATAGGAGGAGCGCCGACAGGTAAGACTGATACAATAAAAACATACATAACTCAAGGGATGAGGTGACGTGAAATGTAGTTCAACGTCATGCTCAAGATTATTGAGTGAACGCGCGTCTGTGTTTGTATTAGTACTAGAGGTTGTCAACAAAATTCCACTTTAAATTAATAACTTGGCACGAGTTTTATAGAATGTATATATATCCAGATATGTAAACCACTTGTGACTGAGTTGAATGTTGATAGCTGTACCAGTTGGTAGGCAGTTTCAAGTTGAGTGAGTGAGTGAGTAGGTTGGGTTTAACGCCGCTTTTAACAGTATTCCAGTTATATCGCGGCGTGTCAGCTTAATGTGGGAGGAAAGCCCGAAGTGACGTTTACCACTTCGGTGAAACCCACGAGCACGGGCATGGTGCTGACAAACCTAGTAACATAATTGGGGGATTCGAACCCACAATCATAGGTTTTTGGCGTGTTCAAGGGACGCAACTCTGCATAGCCAATCGCAGCGCCTTAGAAGACTGGGCCACCCGTGCCCCCGTTTCAAGGTGAAGCACGAATTAAATAGTGGAACAGAATTTTTTTCCAATAATTGGTGTAAAATTAATTATGAATCATTCACTCTGTTTGCGTTATTTACGTGATGAATAGGGGCCATTCATTCATTCAGGGGGCACGGATGGCTCAGTCGTCTAACGCGCCGCGATTCTCTTTGCAGAGTTGCGTCCCTGGGGCAAACCTACGATTGTGGGTTCGAATCCCGGTTCGCCTCGATTATATTTCTAGGTTTGTCAGCACCATACCGGTGCCCGTGGGTGGTAAAAGTGTAAAACGCCTGAGACCCGCATCACTTCGGGCTTTCCTCCCACATTAAGCTGACACGCTGTGATATAAATGGAAAAATTTCAAAAGCAGCATTAAACCCAACACAATCACTCACGAAGAAAATGGAAATTTAATCTTAGACTTATATGTACACGGGGGTCCAACATAAAAACTCAATAGATAAATGTTCATACAAAAACTCAGTTAATATGTGACAAGTTATAACATCAATAACTAAACAGAAATAAATGATACGCCCCGATCAATGACACGGGACACCTCTCATTCACTGTACGGAACCCAAACATTGTCAAAGTCAAAATGTCAAGTACACAATACACGTTGTCTTGACGTTGATCATTCATGGAATTGAATATGTCGTGGATATGCTTGTTAGAAACAATCTGCAGAATTGTTCAGATTTATCATCAGAGAGTGTTATTCGCGGTCCCTGGGTAACAGAGGATTCATAATTGCTAATTGTGGACAGACAAGTATTGTGATGGGTATGTATTGGGCAAATAGTATGGATAATCCATTAGTACATGTTACTTTGCTACTTTTTGCGATGTAAATACATAAATATACCACGCAAAATAGGTTTAAGAACACCCGTTTTTTCATATGGCGATAGTTAATTTGTCATGGCTGGTAGGTATTACAACTGTAATCTTCCAACTGCTGGTGTTCTGTAACTATTTTACAAGTAATTAAATTTGTGTTTCAGTAAATGTAGCCGTTTGGAAAAGGAATTGAATTGTAAATGTTATATTTGACGCATTTATCTTTCAGCTGCGTCAACTGTTTATATTCGTTTTGGAGAAACAGCAACTCTGGCTTGGAATTTGCATGGGTCTGGAAACAAAGACTTTTTTGTTAGAAACGATTTTTGGAAGGAAACGGTGTTTCACATAACGAACTTTAACGAATTCAACATTGCCAATGAGAAACTGAAATCAAGGCTGGAATTCACTGGAAATATAAATTCCTCAGGAGCTGGTCTCTTCAGCTTCGTGCTCAGTAGAGCTGACGACCATGACTTTGGTCAGTACAGCTGCTATCTTGGTTCACCACAACGTCCAGGAACAAAGATTCCCAACTGTGGGCAACAGCTAGTAGTGATACGTAAGTAGTTAATTTCCAGAAACACTATCCGGTATTTGAGTATGGTAACTAAGTCTACACAATATATCAACAAGTCACTGACCAGGGCAGCTGTAACAGGGTATTTTGAAGAGGGATAATGTTCATGTTTCCAGAAAAAAAAGTATGTCCATTCATAAAAATTTCACAGATATTTCGTCCTTTTCGCTAATGGTTCCGCGGATAATCTAGACTGGTGTTTCCTTTGTATTGACAATGTATATTTACGTTGGTGATATCATCATACCGATGTCGGTATTGAACCCTATTACGACAGCATTTACAACACTTACAAATATATAAGCCACTCCATTTGCATATATGGTTATTTTTTCAACAGGAGTTCAAGAACCTTATATCGAGGGCCCGGAAAAGGTATCCTTTGGCAGTTCTGTTGATCTGACATGCAACTCCTTTCTGAAAAGTTACCCAAATTGGAACCTGTCCATGAACTTTGTCTGGATGAAGAACGGAACGAGTGTAGAGAATGGAGGCAGGCATCAGTTGGCGTCTGGTAGCAGGGTATGGAGAGGCGGGCGATACATGAACAACACTCTGACTATCAGTGGCGTGACAAGGAAGGACAGAGCACACAGATACACTTGTCAGACAGTGGTTGGGGACAATATACTCACAGACCACAGTGTGGACTATGTCCTTAGCGTAGAATGTATGTATTCATTACAAGTGTCACGGGTAACCTCCCATTTGTTAGACAGCCAGTTGTTGTTACAGAGCTTAAAAACTTAAATTTCAAAATGGATTCACAACTAAGAAGCCAACTGTTACCTCAGATAAGTAATGACACATCCCAGTTTGAGAATAACATAGCTCCATACTAGTATGTTCCTCTCTGAGACGTCGTATATTCTGCTTTGCATAGGCAAGCCATGCCGATAACATCGATATTGTTGTTGCTTTAAGTGTTTATGAAGTCGCCTTCTGTTATAGCAATTTCAGTTGACCCCTCCCTCTTTGGGACTCATGTGTGTGAAAGTAGCTACACAATCTATTGGGAGCTTTTGTACCGATAAATGTTCTGTTTTCGTTTTGATTATATTTTGCTATTTTCCCATTGATTTTGAGAAAGTGATAGAAGTTCTATGGCTTGTCAGTGTATATGCGTTCGAGTAAGATGAACTTTAGTTATATTATGTCTGTAAACTACTTAGATCCGCATCAATTTCTGGCAAGCTCTCCTCTAATCCTCAAATTAAGATCGACCCACTATAACTGTGGCTGTGTAGAAATACAGTATTACAGAAATACGGTGTAAAACACACCTCACCTACTCATGTTATTGCAACTGTCGATATTGTTATAAGTAGAAAACTGACTATGTTGTAGATGTGCCTGAGTCTCCTCAGAACCTGGAAGTGCACGAGGGAGACACTGTGTTGCTTTCCATGAGGACACCCCAACATCAGTCAAGAATATACCTGCAAGACCCTGATGATATAAATGTGTTTGAAATGGACTCTGCTGAAGGCTACATATGGGAAACCTACTGGACCAGGATCAAGATCGTGCAAGTCATCACATCATCGGATAATGTCACTGTACAGTTCCAACTCTCTGACGTCACATCAGCTGATGCTGGGAGGTACCACTGTAGCCTGGAGAAGGGCGGACATGCAGACTGTGACTGGGAACACGTGCTGGTTGTTTTCAGTAGGTCAACTTGCCTTGTTACATGTATGTATGTATGTATGTATGTATGTGTGTGTGTGTGTGTGTGTGTGTGTGTGTGTGTGTGTGTGTGTGTGTGTGTGTGTGTGTGTGTGTGTGTGTGTGTGTGTG